ATAGATTTTCTCTATTGATTTACTTTCAGAAAAGAAAGTTGAACCAGTCGCAGTGATAGCAAGTGCTCGTAGGAGGATCTAGCCTCGTCATCTTTGTGGTTGTTGTTGGAATCATTCTCATCAAGAGGTAAATATCACTTTAAGTGAAGTTTATTTTAAGGAGAAAGTCCAATTTCACGGAAAAAGTCAACTAAACCCCTTACATCATTAGCAGCTGTTTGTGATCGAGAAGGCTCCACATCTGTCCCCGAAAGGCACGTTTTAATATATCTGCTTACTTCCTTGCAGTATTCTGTCTTTTGGCATCAAGAATGTGCTTCAAACGTTCAGTTTCTTTTCATAGAAATTTTAATAACGACCTCGTTGAGAACATTTTGGTTTGGCCTAGATGGAAAACTGAATCCGTTCCAGCGACATCTGGTGATCATGCTTCTGCAGGGGGTATGCCGGTGTACGCTGATCTGGCCACCATATACGCCCAGACCATTGGCCCTTCTAATCCGAGAGAACATTACAATGTGCCCACCAAGCAACCACCACCGCTCCCTCCACCAAGAAAGATCGATGAGATTTCCAAGGGGTACGTGCCAATGAAGCCTATCACAGTGCACTCCGAGGCACCGCAAACTTCTGATGAGGAAGCTAACGCCGAAGGGGTATACATGTGAAGAAAGGTAACTATGTTAACCACGACGTCGAGGCTTCTTGTTAACTGGGGGAAATTTTAAACATAGATCTTCGACAAAGCAAAGGAGGAAAATAAGCTTAACTATATGTGAAAAGAAAATACTGTTCTATCTTTTGACCGGTAAATGTGTAAATTGGTCAAATTGATTTTGAAATGAAGGAGTTGGGATCTTTTTTCTGCTGTAGTTCTGGCCTAAAGCAATGTATCGTCAATGATTGACACCTTTAAAACTCGTTTACGCTGAAATTTATTCTTGATGTACGTGATAGATTAAGAGCTGGTAATATCGATACTAACATTGTTCGTCTTGATATTAAAGTCGAAGCTTGTATAATACGTTCAACGAGCCAGAAACAAAATATATAGAACAACGCCTGACGTTTTACCATTGGCATTATACATGGGTCGCAATTGTAACCACTGGCATATGTTTGAAAATAAAATTTCAAATTTATGCATGGATTAATAAACACTGAGCTGTAAAATACACATCGACAAAAAGGATTCAAAATAAGACTGTATTACGATTTACTCTAATATATCCGAATAAAACAGATTTTAGAAGTTGATTGTCTAAGGTACATCTATGTTGGTAAATGAATTTAACCAGGAAAAGGAATGCTGGAACTACATTGTATAAGGTAATCCAGTAACTATTACTTATACATTATAAATGGGTCGCTATTGTAACCACTGGCATAGGTTTGAAAATTGAAATTTCAAATGTATGCATGGATTAACGTTGGGCAGCGTTCGTGGTCTCCAGGGAGGTGATCAAAGTCGGGAATTTGTTAATTAAAAAGAAGTCCAAATGCCATCACCTTCCATTATATCTTACCTCTGTTCAAGCTGAAAAACCTGGTCTTAATCACTTTCAAGTCAGGGCCTTTCCTAGCCAGAAAAGAAGGGAAAAAATCAAGCCGGCTCCCTAGCCAATTTCCGTAGGACTCTGTGTTAAGTGTTCCCATGTGTTCATATAAGGCATTATTTACAAAGTCGGTGCCTGGGCAAGGCAGTGGAATGTTTTTTTTCTTTCAGTGACAGCTGTGAGGAACTTGTCAGAGGCCTGTTTCGGCTGTCTTTTAAGTGTTGTTTAAGGGAGGGTGTGTTGTGGCTTGGCCAGCACGTGGCAAGGACCCCCTCAAAACGGGATCGCCTGGGAATGAATGCTGGAACTACATTGTATGAGGTTCTCCAGAAAATATTGCTGTTATGGTACACAATTACTACTATTTCATTATAAATGGGTCGCTATTGTAACCGCTCGCATAGGATTGAAAATTAAATTTCACATTTATGCATGGATTAATAAACACTGAGCTGTAAAGTACACATCGACAAAAAGGATTCAAAATAAGACTGTACTAAGATTTATTCTAATATATCCGAAAAAAATAGATTTTAGAATTGGATTGTATAATTATAAGGTACATGTATGTTGGTAATGACTTTAATTAACCAGAAATAAATGCTAGAACTGCATTGTATGAGGTTTCCATAAACTATTACTAATACTACAATACTATTTACTATTACTAATATTAATTACTAATAATAATTGAATTGTATCGTTTTTTGTTTTATACAAACTATTATATCAAAGAAATGGACTTTGGAATTAAATTTATAAGATGCAAGCTGCTCTATCCTAGAACATTCTGGAATTGGACTGTATCCAGTTTATCTTTAAACTTTTATATACAAGAAAAGAATACATTACGTAGATCAAACATCAAGTTTGTCTTGAAGTTGTTCTAAAAAATAGATTGATCCACTGAATGGACTATGGTCGTGTTTATCGTGTTTATAAAGTCCATTGTGTCCTGCTGATTTGGAAATTACTTCGTTTGAAATCTATAATCTGGTAGTTTCTAAGACATAAATTTAGCAAAATTCATCATTTAACGTTAGGCAGTACGTACCCACGACAATCACACTTCAAAGACGTTGTGATGTCCATAGCCATGATAATTCAGCTATTATTTCTATGATCGAAAAGACATCGACGAAAGGTCGGTTTGTGCTTCACGCGAATGGGAAAGCAAATTAAATATGTGCAGCAAACTTTCGCTGATTTGAAATGTGTGTTCAACTTTTACGATATGGCAGCGAGAATGTTTTAAAACTTTGATCTGATGTCAAGAAATCGCTTTCGCGCAAAGTAAGAACTGGCCTTTAAAATATTGCAGAGCCCTCCCCAGTAATGAGGAAGAATACAGGGGAACGGAGTTAAAAACGTATGTCAATGTCAAACACACACACAAAGATGTCAAGTATCAACAAAACAATTAAAAAATCCCACACGTTAAGCACACATTCAGCAAAATTCACCAGTTTGCGTTGATTTACAAAGCTTTTCAGACTGAAGTGAGAAGATTTCATATGTGGGAGTAAATTGTTTCATGATTGAGCACCGCGAAAATGAAAAGTTCTTCTTGCACTTTCTGTTCTAAGGTGAGTGAAAACTATATTACCAACTGTGTTATTTCTCGTTTGGTTTAGGGTGATTCACTGACCCGAATAAAAGCATCACAAAGATATTTTGATACTTTATCAGCTAAACATTTAAAAACCATGTTGATTACAATGTATATGGATATCTCTTCATGCCTGGAGAGCATTCCATCCCAATTCGCTTCGGACTACTGATGCTGATGTTCTAGATAGAACCTTTAGCATAGTTCGTCCAGTTCTATTCATTACTATATTGCAACACTCCGACAGTCTAACAGGTTTCTCACGGAGGCAAGAAAACACAGTGGGCTCAGGACTTCTGTTTGCGAGGGCAAAATCCGTTTATTTCGGCAACACAATCAAAACTCCCCGTCCGAAGACTCATCACAAACCCAAACTCTCTAGGCCGCCAAAAGAAGCCCCCCTAGCGCTGGCGGAGTTCGTCCAATAAGGGCGCCAGCCGCACCACCCTGGAGTCAGACTGGCGCCCCCATCCGACCGGCCGGCCCCCGGTGACACAATATCAAGCCTTTGCATTACTCCAAACCAGATCACAAATATCAAACAGAGAAGGC